GGGAAAGATGGAGGGCACAAGGAGAAGGGGACGACAGAGGACGAGATGGTTGGATAGTGTTCTCGAAGCTACCAGCATGAGTCTGACCAAACTGTGGGAGGCAGTGGAAGACAGGAGTGCCTGCCATGCTCTTGTCCATGGAGTCACAAAGAGTCGGACACAACTAAACGACTAAACAACAACAAAGGGTGGAAGGCAAGAAGCCCAGACAGTAGCTGGAGCTAAAGCCAATGGCAGGCAGAACTAAGTTTTGTCCCCATTCTCCCCCATGCTTCAACAGCAGGTGTCCCTATTTTCCAGGGACAGTCCCAGAATTATGAAAGCCACCCCAGCTTCTGATTTGATCCAAGAATGTTCCTACTTTCCCCACCAGTGCCGCTACCGAGCTCGGAGAGGAGGATGAGCTGGTGCTTTTCCTGAGCAGCAGTGGCAGCTGCAAGGGAGCATATCGTTGCCTCTCTGTGGCCGCCACTGCAGCCTCCTCCCTTGGGCACCTCATAGGGGTTGCTGGAGAGCAGGAGAGGCGTGGGAGAGGCTGTCGCCCAGCATTGAATGACGCACTGGCTCTGAATTGCAGGCAGAGGACAGGGCAGTCCTGGGCGTGAAGAAAGGGGGAGCCAAGTCGAGTGCAAGGGGCCTTTATGGCAGCCTTTCTCAACCTGTGGGTCCCCAGATGTTGTTGAACCACAACTCCCATCACCCCTAGCTAGCAAGGCCAGAGCTCAGGGATGATGGGAATTGTAGTCCAACAACATCTGGGGACCCACAGGTTGAGAACCATTGCTTTATGGGGGTTTTTATGCATTGTTTGTCCATATCTAATCTTGCCCCTTTAAAAAATTTATTTATTGGAGTGTGTTTATAAAATAAAATCAGGGTCAAGGCATTTTCTCAGGACACTGGTAGGTGTGTATGCTGAGTCCCGTTGTTGTAAGGTAAAGGACCCCTGGATGGTTAAGTCCAGTCAATGGTGACTATGGGGTTGCAGCGCTCATTTCACTTTCATGCCGAGGGAGCCGGCATTTGTCCACAGACAGCTTTCCAGGTCATGTGGCCAGCATGACTAAACTGCTTCTGGTGCAACAGAACACAGTGATGGAAACCAGAGCACATGGAAACGCTGTTTACCTTCCCGCAGCAACTGTACCTATTTATCTACTTGCACTGGTGTGCTTTCGAACTGCTAGGTTGGCAGGAGCTGGGACAGAGCAATAGGAGCTCACCCCATTGTGGGGATTCGAACTGCCTACCTTCTGTGGGTGGTGAGCAGAACAAAAAAATATGGGGTCGGGCGGGGGGTGTCAGTTGGATAGGCAGTGAGGAATGTCCCTATTTTCATCTGGGGGATGCTAGAGGGTATGAATGCTATGACTATGAAGTAGGAAGCTGACGGACAATGGTACCCACAGATCTGTTTGTAAGAAATCAGGCCGTGCAGGTGTGTGTGTGTTGTAGGTTGAAGGCACCCTGAGGTTGATCAAAGCAGTGGCTTATTTGTGTAAATGGACCAGCCTCCACTGATTTTTGAAGAACATCACCCTGAAAATCCGAACGAGATTGAAATACATATGTAAATGTTTCAAGTAAGTACCGTAAATGTACAGTTAGGTATATGCAACCAACAATTTTTTAGAACAAAAATAAATAAATGTGAAAATTGATTCATTGCTAGAACGGAGCACTGCCAAAAGGTGATGTCAGCTTGGAATTTGGGGAGCTGTTTCAGGGGGACTGAACTGTTCCAGGGAAGCAAACATGGTCCTTGGTATGCCTGACATAGGTGTGGGCTTGTTAGGCAATGCATTCCACCTGCAATAGTCAGAAGGGGAACTCCAAAGTTAGACTTCGCACCTTGCCTAAAACGATTTTGAGAATGCACATACTGTATTATTTGCTCGCACCAAGGCTATGCACATGGAATGCACATTGATTTTAGAGTCAATAATTATTAGGAGGATCTTGGACCCTGATGGAGACATTCCTGGCCAGTCAGGACCCCCCCCCAAAAAAAAACAGCACAGTTGGCCTGCTAGCTATTTACGTATGTTCAGAAAAAAGGCAGTTGGTCTACACTGTGGATGTCAAACTTCAGAATGCACATACCCTGGTCAATATTTGCTGGGTCTAAAGGCACCAATTTAAACAGTTTTCAATGATAGAGGAGGTGCGTTTTTGAAAGCATCCTAATGATAAAAAAAATCCATTGATTTTTCAGGGTATTTACAGTGGTCTTGCTCTCACATAATATTTAACAACCAATATAAAAAAATCTCTCATTACCTAAGAGCAAAAACTTTGCAAAGACACCTGTTCTACCTGTACGGAATGGTCCCTGAGGTTGCTCTTATTCTCTGTTGATACATCCTGGTCCAATGTTTCTGCCATTGTTGAGCAGACAGATGTCCAAGCTATTTGAATTTCTGCATTTTTATTACTTTTAAAACCTGGTAAGTACCGTATTTTTCGCTCTATAAGACACACCAGACCAGAAGACGCACCTAGTTTTTGGAGGAGGAAAACAAGGAAAAAAATATTCTGAATCTCAGAAGCCAGAACAGCAAGAGCGATTGCTGCGCAGTGAAAGCAGCAATCCCTCTTGCTGTTCTGGCTTCTGTGATAGCCGCGCAGCCTGCATTCACTCCATAAGACGCACACACATTTCCCCTTACTTTTTAGGAGGGAAAAAGTGAGTCATAGAGCAAAAAATATGGTACAACTTGTAGGATTGAGCCAAAACTGCTCATAGGTGTTTTGGGGTTTTCTTGCACTTTTTTGAACAGTGTTGAAGAACTCCCAATTTTTAGTGATTTTTCTGTATTTCTTGTCAATATATTCACTTATTTTAATTGCCCACATGCCCTCTCACTCTCTCACTTGCCCTTAGTGAATTGGCCAAGCAGCCAAATCGATCTGGTGGGAAGAAAATTCTGATGCCATTCACTGTGTAAACCTTGGGTGAGTATGATAGTTCCATGCAACTAAGCCATGAAACATTTGCCTGAGTTGCCTGCAGTGATATCATCATGCTGTCAAATCTGATTGCCTATGTAGCTTACTCACTACGTGATCCCTGATTGTCTGGGATCATCCATATGGTTAATCTATAGGTGGAAGAAGCCACCTCCAAACAATGGCATAAATGAGGCTCAAGAAAAGTGAATATTCACAAATTTCCATCCATTCTAGAAAAAGGTATTTAGCTCACCAACATCTTTAATTCACTTCCTGGAAAATTGAAACACAACACTATCTAGTGCACCTTTAGAGACAACCAATCAAGTTTGGATTCAGAAACGTGTGGCAAATCCAAAACTGCCATGTCATAGGATGTTTCACCCCCCATTGAGGTTAAGGGGCTTTTCAAAAATAGTTCAAATTAACCCCAGAAGATCCATGCCTGGGAATCTAACAGTATATTTTTGTTCTTAATCCTATAAAGAAAATGGAAAACAATAAAAATGGCATGGGGAATCAACCTTTGGTTTGGCAAAACAAAATAATAATAATAACAACAATAATAACAAGAACAAGAACAATTAGTATTAGTATTATTATTAGGTAAAGGTACCCCTGCCCGTACGGGCCAGTCTTGACAGACTCTAGGGTTGTGCGCTCATCTCACTCTATAGGCCGGGAGCCAGCGCTGTTTACAGACACTTCCGGGTCACGTGGCCAGCGTGACAAGCTGCATCTGGCGAGCCAGCGCAGCACACGGAATGCCGTTTACCTTCCCTCTGATAAGCGGTCCCTATTTATCTACTTGCACCCGGGGGTGCTTTCGAACTGCTAGGTTGGCAGGCGCTGGGACCGAACGATGGGAGCGCACCCCGCCACGGGGGATTCGAACCGCCGACCATGCGATCGGCAAGTCCTAGGCGCTGAGGGTTTACCCACAGCGCCACCCGCGTCCCTGTATTATTATTATACCCCACCCATCTGGCTGGGTTTCCCCAGCCACACTGGGCAGCTCCCAACAGAATATTAAAAACACGATAAAACATCAAACATTAAAAACTTCCCTAAACTGGGCTGCCTTCAGATGTCTTCTAAAAGTCAGACTGTTGTTTATTTCCTTGACATCTGAAGGGAGGGTGTTCCACGGGGCGGGTGCCACTACCAAGAAGGCCCTCTGCCTGGTTCCCTGTAGCCTCACTTCTCGCAATGAGGGAACCGCCAGAAGGCCCTCGGAGCTGGACCTCAGTGTCCGGGCCGAACGATGGGGGTGGAGACGCTCCTTCAGGTATACTGGGCCAAGGCCGTTGAGGGCTTTAAAGGTCAGCACCAACACTTTGAATTGTGCTTGGAAACATACTGGGAGTGAATGCAGGTCTTTCAGGAGCAGTGTTATATGGTTTCAGTGGCCACTCTCAGTCACCAGTCTAGCTGCTGCATTCTGGATTAGTTGTAGTTTTCGTGTAACCTTCAAAGGTAGCCCCACATAGAGCGCATTGCAGTAGTCCAAGCAGGAGATAACTATCCGAGATTTGGGAGAGGAAATAATGGAGGAAGACTGGAAAAAATTCAAGGACTATTTGCAGAAACATTATAAGCTGTATGAATGTTAAGAATGTGTACGACTAGGAAACTTTTGCTTCAGCAACTTGAATAGGTGAATTGGAAACTAAGTTATAAGAAAGACGAGGTGGACAATATGAAATAACTATACTATGTTTATTTTTAAGGTACAAATAACGGAGATACAGCATTTTGAACTTAGAAACATAGTATTTGAAAGATACAGTAAGATATGAAACAAGGTAACAAATTGCTGATGTTCTAATTGCAAAGAACGCAGGGTTCGGAAGATGTGGGGAAGTCCAGTTGGAATGGCAAAAATAATTTGGAAAGTTGGTTTCTATGTATCTCTTTTTCTCTTTCTCTTTATTCTTTATTCTTCATTCTGTAAATTTCTAACTGTTGGAAAGAAAAATTTAATAAAATATTTAAAAAAAAAAAACCAAGCAGGAGAGAACTAGAGCATGCACCACTCTGGCAAGACAGTCCGCGGGCAGGTAGGGTCTCAGTCTGCGTACCAGTTGGAGCTGGTAGACAACTGCCCTGGACACAGAATTGTCAGCAAGAGGTTAAAGAAGATTATTACAGCCCATTGAAATCATTGCTCTGTGCTGTCTCTCCAGATGGCATCATTCAGGATATCATGAACTGCAGCTTCCATCAGCCCCAGTTGGCATGGCCAGTGGTCAAGGTTGATGCAAGTTAGAATCCAACAACATCTGAGAAGCACCATGGAGGGGAATGCTGGCTCAATGAAAGAACAAATGCTTTGAGTCCATTAAGGCCACATTATAGAGTCTCTGACAGAAGACCTGAGAATTCCTTTCATAGAGAACTGCTGCAGAGTAGACAACACAGAGTTTGTGCCACTAGCGGTCTGACTCAGGTTAAGGCAAGCACTTGGGTTAATTTCTATATTCATCACGGATTTTATATGGATACATTTTCTTTCTTTCTTTCTTTCTTTCTTTCTTTCTTTCTTTCTTTCTTTCTTTCTTTCTTTCTGGTGAATATTGATGGAGATGACTGCCATAAAATGTTATAGGCCTTTGATGTTTCTAATAGAGGATGCAAATGCTTAACAGATGAAAATTATGTTGCTAATAAGAAAATAACCATGAAATGCAGAAATACAATTAGAAAAACTTGTAAGGAGAGCTGAAATATCCAAGACACTTAGTGCTGAAGACGAAGGGGGAGAAAAGAGGCAAAGCATCCTTTGAAGTATGTAAATATTATTTCATTGATCTGCTGTGGGATTATTCTTTTCCAGGCCCATATTTCAACGTATATTGGCAAGGATGAAAGATCCTGTGCAGCATGAATTGTTGCAAATATCTGAAAGCTGAGCGGATGTTTTTTTTCCTAATGAGAAACATGGAATGCACAAAGCAAATAAGTAATCTTCCTCTCAGCTTCTTAGGTTCACGGAATGCACTGTAGAGCTATGGCAAAAGAAAGAAAACAAATAATTAGCTTATGGAACTCTCTGTCACAAGATGTGGCAACTTAGCGGGTTTGAAGGGTGAGTAGATAAATCCATGGAGGGTGTGTCTTGGTTTAAGCACATTTGCTTTTTGCTCCATTTCCCGATGTCCACCAGGGCCCACTGGGAACAACCTGGCACTTTGTTTGACCACCCAGGAATGATCCTTTCTCCCCCCCAGACCTCAATCTTAATATAAACTGAACATGCTCCACTCTGTTGGGGAACTACCAAGTGCTACTCAAGATCTCCCAGAGTCCACCCCTTGAATGTCACCCAGAGCCTTGAGAGACCTGGCAACCTTACGCAGAGTGACAGAGTGGTCAGGGTTCCCTTTTTACAAGACCACCACATATGATAAAAAGAACCTTCTTTCTCTTTACATTTCCATCAGCTCCCAGGATTCTTTGGGGGGGGGACCAGAACTGTTAAAATGCTACAAAGGTACTTTAAATGTGTGGTTATGGATGTGAGCTATGACTTCCACATCTCTCTGTGAGACCCTTTCTGCTTTCCTACTTACCTAACTAGCAGTCAGCTGGTAGAGAGACTGGTTATTGTTTCAGAGGTCTGAACTGATTGCTCAAAGAAGATTCCCTTTCCACAACTCTCCTCTCCATTGCAGTTTTGTCTTGTTTTAAACTCCATTTCCCTCCAAAGCACCATTCTTCTCTCCCTCCAGGCTTCCCGCACCCACATGCAATCAGGATGAGGGCTGCTAAATTTCTTTGGGTTTTTTTTTGCTTCGTGTAAATATTTAGCAACCACACTTTCCTAAAAGAAAAATAAAATAAGGTGATGTTCAACATAAAAACACATGAACAGCAAAAACATCTAAAAACCCCACAACCTAGTCGGTAAAAAAAAAAAAGAAAGAGAAAATGTTCGCATCTCAAAGGCCTACCTGAACAGTGCAGTTTGGAGAAGAGGTCCTAAAGAAAGCAGGGAGGTTTCCAGCCAAACCTCTAGTGGCAAGGAGTTCCGCAGGGCAGGGACTGCCACACTAAAGGCCGCAGGTGGCTCAATTTTTTCTGTAGGAGTAGGAAGCAATGCATTGGTGTAAACAGAACATACAGCAACAAATGGTGCGGTATGGCTGTGCCATTTACCCAACCTAACTCTGGTAGAATTGCTACTGCATACTGGGTTGGAGAAGGGCAATAGGGGAGGCAGCATGGTGCAAATACAGCAGCAGAGCTGGCATGTTTGCACCATGCAGAACTCACCACTGCCTCACCCCTCTCTATTGTTTAGGTGTTTTTGTTGGAGGTTGTTGCTATTTTTGACATTATTATTTTGTATCTTTATTCTAGACCTTAGTAGGATTTATTTAGAAATGGTCTCATTTGGTTGTGTACTTTTTGATGTCTCATTTATACTTTTATTATGTTTGTAATTATGTGATTTTTTTCATGTCGTGTCCTGCCTTGAGCATGGTTTTAACCAGTGGGTTTTTTTTCTGGGGTGACTATGGGGTTGTGGCGCTCATCTCGCTTTCAGCTGTCTGCAGACAGCTTTCCAGGTCATGTGGCCAGCATGACTAAACCGCTTCTGGTGTAATGGAACACCGTGACGGAAAGCAGAGTGCACAGAAACGCCGTTTACCTTCCCGCTGCAGCAGTACCTATTTATCTACTTGCACTGGTGTGCTTTCGAACTGCTAGGTTGGCAGGAGCAGGGACTGAGCAACGGGAGCTCACCCCGTTGCAGGGATTCGAACCGCTGACCTTCTGATCGGCAAATCCCCTAAGCTCTGTGGTTTAACCCACAGCGCCACCTGCGTCCCTTTTCCTTAGGACGTCCCTATTTTCATCGGAGTGATGTTGGAGGCTATGGAGTTATGTGACCCCAGAGCTAAGGAGATAAGTAACTATACAACCTTTAGAAGACATCTGAAAGCAGCCTGTATAGGGAAGTTGTTTATGTTTAATGTTTTATTATGTTTTTATATATGATGGAAGTTGCCCAGTGTGGCTGGGGCGACCCAGTCAGATGCGCAGGGTATTATTATTATTATTATTATTATTATTATTATTATTATTATCATCATCATTTCCATTGGAGAAATGTTGGCGGGTGATGTGTGTGTGTGTGTTTTCCTGGACCATGGGTATTTATTTTCATGGCTTTGTTTTTATTGAATTTTCACAGAAAAAAACCCTGCAGCAGACACTTTTGGGGGAGTAAAGCAAAAATAAATTGGATTTCAAATCCCTCTAACTTGGGTATTTATTTTGTTTCATTATCAGGCCAATTAGAATGTTGACAGAAGAAAGCAGTTTGTCATCGCTCCCCCTCTCCCCCCGCAGCCGCCCAAGTCTAGAGCAAAGTTTAGAGGCTAAAGAGACTCAGCTATAACAAGAGGGGAAGTCACAAATGAGGGTTTCATTAGACGCATGCCGCCCTCCGCTCCCACAGGTCTGAACAGGTGTAACATCAATCAGAGTGCACAGCCCTGGCCGCAGAACCTCTGAAGTTTTTCTGGCATTCTCTCTGTCCTTCTCTGGCTTCTCTGTTCAGGGTCAATAGCTGAGTGTCCAGGAAAAAGGCCACTTCTGGAAAAATCTCCTGCCTTTGAACATCCGCTTTCATGTTAATGATGACATCCTCACGATGACAACCTCGAAGAGCCCGTATGTGACGCACAGCTCCGACATTAGCCGTGACAAATACAGTGGTACCTCGGTTTTCTAGTCTCTGTTTTCGAACATTTCGGCTTTTGAATGCTGTAAACCCAGAAGTAAATGCTTCGGTTTTCAAACTCACCTTGGAAGTCAAATGTGCCACGTGGCTTCTATATTGAGTTTTCCATAAGGAGTTTTCCATTTTGAGGCTTCCGTACTGAGTTTTCAGTTTTTGAATGTTTAGGCACTCGAATGGTCTTTCGGAATGGATTACGTTCGAAAACCGAGGTACCACTGTATCAAAGACACAACAAAACATCAACCATTGAAAACTTCCCCATACAGAGCTGCCTTCAGATGCCTTCTAAAAGCCATATAGTTTTTTATCTCCTTGACATCTACCGGGAGGGTGTTCCACAAGGTGGGTGCCACTGCCGAGAAGGCCCCCTGCCTCGTTCCTTGCAACTTCACTTCTCTCAGTGAGTGAACTGTCAGAAAGTCTTTGGAGGTGGACCTTGGTGTCTGGGCTGAACGATAGGGGTAGAGATGCTCCTTCAGGTATACAGGGCCGAGGCTGTTTAGGGATTTGATCCCATATCTGTGAGGGGGAGAATAGCTTTCAGTTGTAGAAGGGGTAGCCTTCTGTTGTGGAGAAGGATAGAAAATATTATAGTAACTCAGATTGAAAGAGAGCTTGATAGCTTTGCCCCAAGCCTGGAGTTCATTGTTGGGTGGGTGTGTCGCATCGGTCTGTCTCTCCTTCCATCTCCTTCTCTTATGTATAATAACACCATGGGTGGTCTCTCTCCTCGCTCAGCCTCCCTGCCTGAAATCTGGCTGTCTCTGTAGCTAGCTAGCTAGCTGTAACTCAAGCACCTGCATGCCAGACATCATGGCTGGCTCAATATGTACAGAACCTCTGCAGATCTGACTTCCAGAAGATGAGACAACCCTCCCTTCAGACAGAATTCTGCCAAGAGAGACTAAAGCGCAACTGGGTTGCCCATGTGGAAAGCAAAAATGGAAAGCAAAAATGAATGAGAGAGATGAACTGTTGCCGTTCACATTTCTCAAGCAGGACAAACATGGTAGCTTCCCCAGTTCCAAGTTTAAAGCTCGTCTTGCTTACTGGACTCTAGGAGGCTCCTGGAAGATCTTAACTGGCCCTGCCTTTCATTTGCAAGATCACAGCTGGCTGTCCACCAAGCACAGAAATCTGTGATCGTGCAAGTTAAATGTGCACAAGTTGTGAGTCGACGGCATGTATTTTTGAGCTGGAACATGGCTGAATTCAGAAAAGTGAACATTTGGAAGGAGGGCTGCATGATTCTGTGGTGATGATTTTTTGGTTCATGCATCAGTCCAGGAAATGCAGAGTAAGTAGGTTTGTATTAAACAGCCAAATCAACCAAATTTCCTCCTCATCTCTACTCAAAATATCCTTTCTCTGGCTGATACACAATGTATGGGATCTGTTGGTTGCCAAAATGGGCTCTGAGAAGTATGGATTCTCATACTCATCAACTCTCCCACTTTTAGCAGGATGTCCTGGAATTACAGAGCCCCCCTGGCTTCTTATTGGATCCTGGGATGTCCTGTTTGGGCTCCCGTGAGAGCGCAGCACCCAAAGACGCCGGTTTTGGGGGGGCTGTGCTCTCATGTAAGTCACATGACTCGTGCAGGGCCCAAAAGACCCACACCCCAATTTTATCTGTGGGTTGTTGGAGGGTTTGGATTCTTAAAATACTGCTCAGCCAATGCCTGCCATTGGTTTTGATATGGAAGACCGGCTCAGATATGAATCAGTTCACAGCAGTTAAACTCACTCAGGCAGCAGCAGTCTCAGGCAAGTTGGCATCAGTCAGGCTAACTTACCTCACAAGGTTGTTTTTTGAAGCTAAAATGCTGTTCAAAGCAGCTCCCCAGAGAAGGGTGTGTGTTGGGGGTGGGGATGATAATGTAGTAAAGCAAATACAGTGGTACCTCAGTTATCGAGCATCTCAGATGTTGAGTGTTTTGGTTTTCGGACGCCGAAAACCCAGAAGTAAATGCTTCCATTTTCGAACACGCCTCAGAAGTCAAACGGTTTCCGCTGTGTTTTTTTTCCAATTTTCTCCATTGACTTTGCAGAACGCCCTTTGCGCCTCAGTTGTCAAACGTTTCGGAAGTCTTCCAGAACAGTTCGGCAACTGAGGTACCACTGTACTGGTAAACAATAAGTCGGTTACAGAGCGAATGTAGAACTTGTCACTTTTAAGTGAAGGAAGACCATAAGGACTGAAGAACTATTTTCTTCTCTCTCCCACAGTCCCCTCCTGTCAACCCCCCTCCCTTTCACCTCTCGGGCTAAGTGAGCAGTCTTGTTTGTGAGATGGGCTTTCCCAAATTCTCACAGCTCTAATCTGGATACCATTTAGTGTGACAGGCTCCTTCCCGGGTTCCCACAGCTGGTTAGTGTTTTGAATTCCTGGCTCATGAACTCATATCAGGCTACATGGGCTAATGCTCAGAGCGCAACCTAGGGCTGATATCTTTGATGACAGAGTAATGGAGGAAGCTCTGGTGCTTTCGCTGTGTTTACAAATCTGCTGCCATTTGTGTGCTGTTCTTCAAATTTTGGTGGAGAAATGGCAGATTGTTCATAATACCTTGTGGAAGCAGTTAAAGCATCAACGGAGGTGAAAATAAAGTGATTAAATATAGTTGGTGAAAGGCCAATAGAAAATTCTGCCATCATTAGTTCCTCTCTCTCTCTCTCTCTCTCTCTGTGTGTGTGTGTGTGCGTGCGCGCGCGTTTAGGAAGGTACACATTCTTTCACTAGTATTGCAGGCTGATTACAAACATCACATAACAAATACTTCAGCTGATTCTTTCCAATAAAATAGTATCAGTCTTCTAAGTTTGACCTCTCTCTCCGTTAATGGCTAAATATTTAGGAAGTCTGCAGATCAAGTGTGATATCCACTGTAGGCAAGACGCACACACCCACCCTCAGTTCTTCCATCTGTAATATGGAGGAAAATAATACAGTGGTACCTCGGGTTACAGACGGTTCAGGTTACAGATGCTTCAGGTTAAAGACTCCGCTAACCCAGAAATAGTACCTTGGGTTAAGAACTTTGCTTCAGGATGAGAACAGAAATCATGCT